CAACAGTTCACGATCATATACGGACATACTACAAGCGATTTCACAATAACTTACATAGACATACTAACACACTTATACAAAGTATAGCTACATTTAACATGCCCGAAACACACTTATGAGGCTCAAAAGGAGCTGGATGAGAGATTTCCTCACTTAAAAATATGCTAAAATCAAGACAGGAACGGATGCCGCTGGGTACTCCTCTCCATCACGCCGATCAAGCCACTATCTGTACACTTACCGACAGCAGACCCGCTAATTGTCATTGCTTATGACAGGTGTGGGTGAATAAATAAAGTTAAAAAAAAAAGAAAAAAAAAAGTTTCCCTGCATGTTCTCGAACAGTTGTTCCGGAGTTTTCTTCCACCAAAGCCCGCAGAACATTGTCATCAAGAGATTAAGTCCTCCACGACCTTCATTGTCTTCAAGGCTGAAGTCTCCCCCAAAATTTTTTGAACCATCGTTGAACAGTGCACTCATTAATGCTACTCCCGCCCAAGACCTGATTGATGTTTCTGGCCGTCTATGCCCTATTCCGGCCGAGTTAAAACTCGTAAAACAAAATTATACGAAAATCACGCGTTGAGATCTTAGTAAAGACTGAATTACTTCTAAGCAGCAAAATGCTACAGGGGTAAACAAATATTATCGTTTGGAAGATTAATAACTGTTGACATTCATACAAATGAATAATCCAGTAAACGTAAACAGTTTGTTATATAGAGGGGTATTTTAAAGAAAACTCAAAATCCTGTATTATTTTCCTAACAACCCAATATTATGTATACATGAAATGGACGTTCAAAATTTTGGTTGACGTTCACAATAGGATAATGTGTGGTCAACTTCTCTCTAAGATACTTCCCCTCTCCTGCGGTGTCCCTCTGGATTTTTTCCTATCTCCTACTCTGTTTGCTGTTTATATTAATGACCTTCCTCTCCTGAACCATCACTCCCAATACCATGCTATGCAGATGGTTTCCAAATATACCTGCCCTTCCCTCCTTCTGACATATTAGCAGCCTCAAAAAAACTTTAAGAGGACTAGAATAGAATCTGTGACTGGGCGGAAGCGAACAAGTTGAAGTTGAATGCCGAGAAGACCAAGGCAATTATATAGGCTCGTCACCTCCTTAAAACTCTTCATAACATACCAACCCTGTTCCTACACGATAATCCCATCACATTCTATCCCACCATTAAGAACCTTGGAATAACCTTTGATCAAACCCTTTCCTGGAAAAAAACATATAACCGATATCTCTCGCCGTGCCTTTTCCATTTTAAAACGACTACATTACTTCCGCTACCTATTTCCATTTGAAACCCGTAAACTCCTTATTACTTCCTTTATATTTCCTCCCTTCGACTATTGCTGTACGGTATATGGGGGCTTCTACGGGAATCTCAAGGCGAAACTAAAACGTTAGATAAATTGCTTTGTACGGTTAATCTTCGGGATCCCAAGGGACGCCTCTATTTCCCGTTATTATGAAGAGCTGAAATGGCTTTATCTTTCCTACCGACGTAAGTATTTCCTAGCATCCTTCCTCTTCCAAGTCATCCACTCCCGCCGTCCTTCATGCATCTCCGAGCTCCTTCAACTCAAATCCTCTGTCCACTCCCGCAAAAACCCGTTCCCGGTCTTCAGATTTGTATACAAGATCCCACCGAACCGCTGTTTTCGACATATCTTTCATTATCCGATCCACATCCCTATGGAATTCTATCCCATCCTACATCCGTCGCTCCAATACCCTCCACCCCTTTAAATCCCGCCTGTTCAATCACCTCTTATCCGTTCAGTTCTCATAATATTGTAAATAGATGTTGTAAATATGTATATAAATAATTAGTTTGTTTTAAATACTTTTATTTCATATTTTTTTCTCTTAATTGAGGATTGGAGGTAAATAATATTCATTTCTTTTATTTATTCATTATATAAATCTGTTTATTTTGTAATTTTTCTCTGAGGCTCCAAAGCCCACATTTCTATCTCTGTACATTATTCTAAACCGACTAGTACCAGAATAAATAAAGCATTATTACTATTATATGAACAGTCTAGCTTGTAATACCTTTTTTTAGCTTTAATTTTTTTATTCACACCTGTCATAATGGTAATGACAACCAGTGAATGTGAGGTCGATTGCAAAATATAATGTCATGAAAGGCGTGAGGAAGATCAGTGCCCAGCGGCACCTCACTCGGCGTGATATCTGCATTAGGCGAGGAGGTCCCTCATCCAGCTCCTCTTCAGTCTCCTACAGACGTTACCTGGCATATTCGTTGTGACCATGTCATTTATAAGTGTATTAGGATGTCCTAGTAAGTTGTCATGTAATCGTTTGTAATGAGATCGTATGTGTTCGTTAACAGTCGGCATATGGAGGTCAGTATGTAAGGTTATATTGCTAACGTACCAAGGTGCTTTTGTAATTGTTCTGAATGTTTTTGCTTGAAAGATTTGAAGTTTGTTTGAGTGAGTCTTTTTAGCAGTTCCAAATATCTGTGATGCGTAAGTCCAAATAGGTTTTAGTAAGTAATTGTACGTGTTCAATTTCTGTCTAAATTTTAGTTTTGAATTTTTCGAAAGAAGTGAACTCAGAATTCATAACCTTTGAATTAGCGTTTTTCGTTTCTTGATTATATGTGGGCCCCACGTCATTTTTCTGTCAAATGTCAGACCAAGGTAGTGAACGGTGTCTGTCTATGGAATCTGTGCATTGTCAAGGAAAACTGGAGGGCATGTTTCATGTCGAAGCGCAAATGTGATGTGCTGTGATTTGTCTTGATTTAGTGAGATTTTCCAAATTTTGAAACCGGTCATGTAATCTTGTTAAATACTGTTGTAGGGTATGTGAGGCGTATATTGGATTTTTGTGTCTTGCTAAAATTGCTGTGTCGTCTGCATATGTCGCTGTTAAAATGTTGGGACTGCAAGGTATGTCATGGTTGTATGTGATATGGAGTAGTGGAGCGAGTACTGAACCTTGAGGTACTCCTGCTGAGATAGACCTGATGGAAGATAGCTCTTACCCGTGTCGGACCGAGAAAAATCTATCGGAAAGGAAGGATTATAAAATTAGATAATATGTAGGTGGGAGTATTGTCTTGAGTTTAAAGAGAAGACCCTGATTCGAAACTCTGTCAAACGCTTGAGCAACATACAGAAATACGCCAGTTGCATATACTTTCTGCTCTAGTGCTGTAGATATGTAGCCCGTTACTCTATGTAGTTGGTGTACAGTTGAGTGATGTACCCTAAATCCAAATTGATGGTCAGGTATTATTTGGGTGTTTGTTAGTATATCAACAAATCTTTTGTTCAGTAAGCTTTCAAAAATTTTGGAACAGATAGGTAGTAAGCTGATTGGCCGGTATGAGGAAGGTGAGTTTTTGTCATTGTTAGGCTTGCCAATCATTATTATATGTGAGTATTTCCACTGTAGTGGAAATTTATTTGTCCTCAGTATTGCATTATAAATAGTTGTCAAAAGCACTAGAGCTTTTCTAGGCATTTGTTGGAGCACTTCAGCGTTAATCGAGTCATGTCCAGGAGCTTTTCTTTTAGGCAACTTTTTGATTTGTTCAGCAATCTGGGAAGGTGTGAATGAAATAGGAGGTGAAGTTAGTTGTAAGAGTACGTCTAAAATTTTTAGTACATTGTTATCGTGCACAGTGTTAGTGAAGTCTGTGTGTGGTACAGAAACAGAAGAAAGATATTCGGCTAAGAGTTCCGATCTTTCTCCGTCCGTCACGGCCCAGGAATCATCTTCTCATCGAAGGGGTGCTGACACTTCACGATGCTTAATAAGGTTTTTGGTATGTCTCCCCAAGCTTCCATCGTCGGTTGAGAGATTTCTGATGTAGCTGTCATAGGTTGTTCGTTTGAATTTTCCAATCTGTCGCTTGAGTTAATTATTAAGTCTGTTGTAAGTTCGTTTATCTGATGGGAGTCTGTCAGTCTGTCATATTTTGCGAGCTCTCCTCTTCGCTCTGATCAAGTCCCTTATGTATTGTGGGTTCATTGGTAGGAACTCATATTTATGAGGTTTTGCTACTGATGTAATACCTTAATGCTTGTATATACCTGAAATTTTACAGCACTTTTTGTTGAAAGTCGGCTAACCGGAAGTGCCACTTTATATCATCGATTTAACTTTTCTCGAAAACTGCATAATTACTTTGAAGATATTGAACTAATTTTTAAAATCCGAAACATAGCTTGTACAACTTCAAATGTGCAGTATCCAATAACAGCTTAGTTACTTAACACCTGAAAGCAGTGTAGCTTACAACAAATGGAATGGTTGTTCACTATTATATCGTTTTATATATAAAGCTGAGATTATGTATTCACCTTCGGGATTTGTCGTTATTGAATGATTGAAGTGATAGGCACCCTTCTTCAGATCCAGATGAAGGTACTTTATATTCTACTCACCATGACTTAAAACTATTAAAATAAAGCAGCTTTGTTTGAAAATTGGTTCTATTCCTGAACATGAAGTAGTACATCATTACCCCTTTGTGTGCTACCCTAAGGAAGTATTTCACCACCGTTCCGGTCTCTGCTAGATGCCAGATGAGTCCATACTCTCAGTTCCTAGCCGGGCAAGGGGATTTTTGTGCTAAGAGGCACTGAGGGAGGTCCCAGAGAGCGTACTGATTTTCATACTCTCGGTAAATATAATTTTCCTCCACTCTTGTTTGCAGAGAACTAGCCATTCTACGAACTTTTCGTGTACGGATGGAAAGAAATGGTAGGCGTAGGTGCGAGTAAAGCGATGCTAACAGCAAATCCTGGATGACATTATAGCAAGATTTATTGTTTTATACTATAAAATTCGAAAGCTTAAGTTTCTGAAAAAAACAATATTCTATCCAGCCTTACCAACGAATATAAGTGGGTTCAAAGTTGTATTTAATAAATTATAATACATACACATTGTGATATGAGCAAATACTTTGATTACTGAAGTTTCATCAAAAAGAATATAAGTAAAAGTAAATACATTTAAACAGATAAAACATTTTTTATATTGTTCTCTTTCTGGTTTAAAATCTGCTAATTTATGTTTCCAAAATGGAACTATAATTTTAATTCCATTACTTTAGGTATTAGGGAGAGTGCATGTACCACTTTTTGTTTTATATACATCCTTAATGTGTTAATGGTGGATATTCGTGCTCAAAATTAAACAAATTATGGTTTTATATTTAAAATTGTTGTAATTTTACTCATAAAAGATAAATTAGTAGAGGGTGAATACATTTAAAGAAAAAACTATATTCCACACTTTTCTTGTAGAATGGAAGGCTATGGTTTGACAAAAATTTTGTTTTCGAAAATCGTCAATTTAATTTGGTGAATACTTTGAAAACTATAACAATAAAAAAATAAAATAAATAAAAAAAAATTAATATAAACATTCTTGGAGGAAATTTTATTGGCTTTAATTTTTTTTTTGGACAATGTTTCGTCTGTGATGCCTCATTTTTAAGATGATAAATTATGATAAAAGAGACCTTTACAGCTCCCCATCATGAAGTGGAAAGTGGTGGGGACTTTTAGTATGTTCACCTCCTATGTACCCCCCAACAGATTACCCAAGTCAAATTCTTGTCCTTCATCCATAGGCTCTACAAGTATCTTTTTACCATTCATTGACTGGACTATATATAGTATGTTGTCCTTTCTTAAGTCTCTCCTACCCAGTCCACCTGACCTGCAGGGCAGCAATGTCTATTGTATAGTTGGTCACAATGAGTTGAGGAGCACATACAATGTTCCTTGTCTATTTAAAAATAAAACATTCCATGTATCAAGTGTGAAGTCCTGGCTCCTTCTCCATTCAACGACCCAACAGTTTTTGAGCTTTAATGAGACAGGAGTTTTAAAGAGAGAGGGTTATCAATCTGCTGCTCCCAAGTCAAATGGAGGAGTTGCCTCATCAGTGCACCTCCACTCGCTCCCCCATCCGGAGGATTCTCTAACTCCAGGAGACTCTTAAGTGCAAGAGTGCTGTGTACTTAACTCATATTGGGAGAGCACTATTATCCACTAACCTAACCCCTGCGGATTATAGCAATTTAAATATTTGCATTTTACATTATATTAGAACTCTTCAAATTACTAACACTATGATTTTTGTAAATCTTTATATTGATATCATGACTTGATTTTTATAAATCAACTATTTATATCAAATATACTGTATAAACTATTTATATTAAATCAACTACATGTTCTCTTTGATTAGTAAAAGATAGAATTTATAATGTTTTGTGCTAAATAATTACTATTACAATTCACTTTAAAAAAAAATTATTAAATAAAAATATGAAATGATTTTAATTGTCTTATGAAAGTATTGCTGAAAAAGCCATCCCTTATAATCCTCTTTCTTCGAGTTCCTTCATTATTCTTTTACAATGGTTTACAGACATCAACAAACTGATAAACACAGCACAGGAAAATGGCCAATCTGTTAATTATAATATAATTTCAAAATTATACCAAGAAATGAATAATTGTTCAAATCAATTGATATTAAATCTTACCAGTTTCAGCGAGATTTGAAAAAAGGGCTCCACCTAAAATTCCAAGGCCTGAAAACATGTTCAAATAAGCTTACCTAATGATTTTGAGTTGGGTAATAATTTATCAATATCATGAGAAATAATTGACTTACAGGGTTAGAGAAATATACAATAGATCAAAAACATATTTTATCCATCAATTTAAAAAAAAAAAATTTCTCAAATAAAATGTATTATGAAGTGACCCTTCAGTAATAAACGAGTGGCCTCAAATCAAAGACGGATATCTGTCATTTTTAAAAGGTTGAGAAAATTTTGAAACATAGCTTCAATTAAAACCAATTCTAATGATTTTTTTCATGAACATTCTTCAACTTTCATGAACATGAATATTCATGAACAACTTGAACATTCTCAAATAAAATAAACAGAAAAAGAGTTGAATCTATAAAACAAATATTGACTTTTTCTCCACTTTCTGAAAATGACAGATGTCCCTCTTTGATATGAGGTAAATACTCATATTTTACTCATATGATGTAACAAATTATGGAAAATTGAACTACTTTTTGTACCACTAATCCATTATTTTTTTTTTTTGTCTGGAGCAATATTTAAAGAAAAATAATATAATCTGCCACAATCTAGGACATTGAGTATTATAGCTCTATGTTTACATTCATACATTTTATACACAATTTAAAATATAAATTGAGAAAGAAAATAAAATAAGAAGAAGGAAGTGAGAAGATCAAATCCAGAGGATTTTCTGAGTTTCAGTTCATTTACAAAGAATTTGACCTCAGAGGGGTTAACAAATGTAGGAGGTAAGGAGAGAGGAATTCCTTAGCTTTGGCTGTATGAGAGAGATTCTTTTCAGGATGGGGAATGAATGTTTTGGATAGATGTCTTGGAAATTCCTCTGCCCTGTTCTCATTTGACTAAGCCCAGGAGCCATCATCATTTTTTTTGTTACATTCCAGAGAGAGTTATCAGAAGTAGAGAGAGAGGAGATGTGGGAATTGAAAGATTGGGATCTGAAGGTATCCAATTTCTTTTTAACAGTTCGGAAAGGTGGTTGTATTTGCGGTCGTCAGGATGCCTGGTTCTTTCCTGGAACATCGTTTGGCATGAATAAGGTCTGCAAGATCTTGAGGTAAAGGATATTTTTTGTGGTATTTAAGGGAAGCAAGAGGAGAGGAAGCAGTCCAAACTGCTAGTTGGATTGAGGTTGTGATGGAATTTAAGGCATCATCTAGGTCTTGGGGAGTTTTTAGGTATTAGGTATAGATACTCTGAGGTCAAGTTTTTCCTTTGATATTTGTTCAAAAAGGTTGCAGTTAACTGGACCCTTTATGAATGAAGGTGGAGGTGATTTGGGATTTGGTGCTGAGGAAAGGGTTAGGATAAGCGGAAAGCCCTGAAACAGAATAATTCAGTGGCCCTAGGCCTATGAGGATGAAAAAGTCTAGGTCGCGATTGGTGGCACTACTTTATGATCGGTTGGCCAGTATGTGGTAGTGTTGGGTGAGAGGATTTTTCTATGAGGGAAATTAAGTGCAGACAGCAATGCCCACCCTCGGGTATACGTCGCTCTGGATCCCCATTGCTGGTGTTTAGCATTTAGGTGTGCACCTAGAAGGAAATGGTATCCTAAGGAATTAAGGAAACATTTTAGTTGGGATTCGGAAATGCATGTTTTAGGCTGAGAATACGCTGCAACAATTGTTAAAGGAAATAATGGAGTTTGAATAGTGACTGCAGTGGCCTGTGGGAAATCCAGTATAGCTAAGGGGAACAAGTGATGGGAAATGGATTGACGGATGATGACAACAGTATCAGCATGGGCTATTCCATCGGGGTGGTCAGTTCGATAGAGTTGGTAGTTAGGTATATTTATTAATCATTTACTGGTCAATCAGGTTTCATTAATTAGAGCTATGTCAATATTTTTGTCATTTAGTAAGTTCGTTAGTGTGGTTTTGAACACCATTCACATTCCAAAGGAGAATGGAAAGGGATTTGTTTGTGTCTATTAAAGGATTTTTTGGGGTTGGGATTAGATTTGACACGTTTGTAAGTAGGGTGATGAGTGGAGTGATTAGGTATCTGAACTCAGAGAGCAATGATGTGAGGAGGCTGGTGAGGTCATTGGCATTGCTAGGAGGAGCTATGTAGAAGATTTGGTGGTCACTGGGGTTTTGGGTAGATGGTTGAGGTTGATATTGACAAATTTATTTTAAAGTTAATAATAAGATAATAAAGAATAATAAAATGCCAGTGAAGTTTTGTTTTGCCTTAAATATTTCCTTATGTCCTCCTTTGCAGGAATATTCCTGCTTCAACAGTAACAGAGTCCTATGCCCTTATGGATTTATATGTTAAGAATATTAATTTATGATTTTATTAATAATCAATTTGGAATTACTTTATACACAGCATAAATAAAATTTGTTATTTACATTAAAATATATGAAAGATGGTTAGGCGCACCACTATGGTTTTATAATTACTATTGTTTAGAAACAGTTCAACCAAATTCAAAATTTGCTAAAATAGTTCAACATTAATAAACTAGAGTTTGGATGACGGCAAAATTTTCAAAAGAAAAAAGATGAATATTTATTTATAAAAGTATAAAATAAATTAAGAACATTCTACAGCTTCCATTAGAAAAAACACTCTGCTTATAGAAAATAATAAGAATTATTCATATTTGAAATGAGTAGCAGTTCAAAGAAAAAAAATATTACAGTAATTAGCTGTAAAATCTCAGAATAAGTTTGTAATTCAAAAAATTGGTCCACATAAGTTACATAGATTGTGAGTATATTCCAAGTCGTTTGCACACCGTAAAGAGGAAGTTGGGAAATGATTACAATAGACATAAAATCATGATGAAGACAATTTTTCAACTTGCCAATTTATTCCTTATGAAAGTCAAAAGCTCCACAATATTAATTAGTATCAACAAGCTTATTGTTGTAGTCATGTCTAAAAAGTTTTAAGGGGTAAGTGTTTTTGTTCATATTAATTTTGATACTTCATTGTTTATGATTGAAAATGAAATTGATAAATAAAGCTTAAACAATTTAAAACTAATTTAAAACATTGGGTTTCCCACTGTTACAAAATACTTACAACAAAATGCCTATTTGCCTTCAGATAAGACGGTGAGAATAAGTGGCATGATCTTTTAAAGACAATGTTCAAGAAATCATAGAGACCTTTGCAATCGACAGATATGACATGCGCATCTTGAGCTACTTTCCAGTATGTGATCTCTCCTCTTCTTACTTAATAATCATCAATTACATTTTCACTTCAGGTTTAAAGGGATATTAGTAATTATCCATGCATGCAACTGGAAGGAATGTTATGTAAATGTAATTTGCATACTCATACAAGGAGTCCTTTAAGATAGGAGAGAATGTGTCCAATCCCTTTCCTTGTCCAATGTTTTCTGGATTAGTCGAAATAGTGTGTGGTTACAATAGTGGTTCCACTACATTCCTGTTATCCTACCTCTTGTATGTCGGTTAAATGAATTTTATACAACAGCCGTGTCTAATTATATAATTAATGTTATCGTAGTAAACTGCTGCAATAACTATAATTTATTTTTATATTACTGTATACAGTACTTATAACCTCTAGGAAATGAGCAAACTCATAATTTGTAAGCATATAGGTATGTGAAATGAAGTAATATTCATCAATAAGAAATGCATAAATATTTGGAAAATTTGATACTTTTGCACAGTGAAACACAAACAAAGCATTTCACTTCAAAATAATAAAGATAGTTATCAAATATTTAAAAATATATTATTTGATATAAGAAAACTTTTTTTTTATTGGTTGAAATGTTTTAAACAAGTAGTTTTTCAATCGTGTAACTTAAACATTATGTGAAATTAAACTTAAATCAATAACAAAATTTTATATTTTTCTGAAAAATATTTCTCATTTTTGACAGGAATTTTTAATTAAAGTTTTTAAATAATACAATCAGATACTGTTCAATTTCTTACCAATTTTCAAAAACGAATCATGCACACATATTCCCCATACTTTGTCATGATCAGACATTTTTTTAAGAAAAATTTTTAAACATGCATCTTGATAACATGGTTATGGTAAAGGTTAATAATTAACATAGTGACAGATGGGGAATCATTTATTTAAATAAACATTGCATTTGATCACAAGGCAATTGAATATCACATGATGTATTAAATATTTAAATATCTGCTATAAGGTACTATCATTGTTATTACAGTTTTAAACAACAATCTTTGTATTTTTACACAATAAATTTATGCCTGATTATGAGGAGCCTAGAAAAATAAAAATAATAAAATAAAATAAGAATTTTTGTATAATACCATATCAATACAATAATATCTAAATGTAAACAATAATGTGATTATGAAGGAGGCAAAAAAGGACATATAACTTTTAAGGTGCATTTAGACATTTCACAAACTATTGGAAACAAAATTATCTAACTAATAGAAAAATTAGTGCTAAGCCCAATTTGTTTTTTATATATTATTTCTCTTGTTTTCAGCAGCAGATGGAAAATATCAAAACATTAGCTTAGGGAAAAAACATTTAAATATTTGGGTTTCCCACAGTTTGTGAAATGTCTAAATATACCTACAAAAACTATCCTACAAAAAAAAATATATATGAAGAGTGGATATCAATAATGACCTGAGTGTCAAACTAAAATAATTGAGTTAAGAAAGCCTAAAAAGCAGAAAAGGTAAATGCTATCATTTCAAGTTTTAAGCAATGTTGTTCAACTTTCATATGGAAAATTAATTCTTTTCATTTTATATTGAAATTGGGTTATAACATTTTGAACAAATTTTTTTATAATCTTTAAAAGTAGAAAGTCGTTTCCAATGAGATTGGAGATATTTTTCAATTCTATTTTCAATATTTAGTATTAAAAATTTATTATTCTTATTAAGGAAAAATACTAATTTGAGATGTTTCCTTTATTTTTATTATAATTACAATACTAATATTTGATTAATTTTAAATATTTTTTTTTAAGAAATAGATTTGGTACAAAATTAATATGATCCAACACTACATTTATTATTTTATGTATTTCTTGAAAATATGTTTATAGTATTAAACTAAAAATAATTTAATATTTTGTCAGCGGCATCCACTCTAGTAATTTTCAAAATCTAATTTCAATCTTAATGGAGTCATTTTCCGCCATTTGTTTTACTTTATGTTATAATTCATGCCCCTTTTCATTACACGAATTGTTAACATGAATTTAATAAATTGTTTTATAGAAACCAGACTATTTACTTTGTAGTGATGCTAATGTATGAAACGATAATGACCGCGCTTCCTCCTAGTCGGGTGTGCTTAACCCATATGGCAAATAAAAATTAAAAAAGTTTAAAAAAATATTAAGTTGTCACAAAAAAGTACATGATTTTTAAATAAAGAAAAAGATTATACTGTATATTGCATGTTTTTTTAACTATATACAAGATATAATCAAAACTATTATCAAAAATATTATGATTGGTTACTTATTGCAGATGAGTAATAACAAGTAGAATTTATAAACAAAAAATTATAGTACAAGTTATAAAAATCACGAATTATATCATTTTTTTTTAATTAAAAAGCTGTATGTAATATAAAAAGAAAAACAATACATAGATTGAAATAATTTTGTGAGAAATCCAAACCTCATTACCTTATTTCTAAAACAGTGGTATTTAAAGTAATGCAACATTACTCTATGCTACTTTTTAGACAAGGCTGAATCTTTGATATATAGATAAAACATTGCTATCTTCTTGGCTTTTCGGGAAAATAGTTTTATTATTTTTATTTTATCTTGTACTCAAAGATCCCCTCTCTTGCTTGAATTTAATTCCATGTTTATGCAAGCAGATCTCTAGTCCAAGACCTCCGCTTTATGCTCAGGGTATTTTACTTTCATTTAACTATATGAAATGTATAGTTAGCTAAAGTATTAAGAGTTTGAAAATTCTGAATCCGAATTTTTAAATACATGCTACAGAAATACATGCTTTAAGGTTTCTTTGAATCCAAATAACCTTTGGACTGACTGGAATGGTCTTCCAAAATCTTTAAGTGTAGAGACATATTATTATGAAAACATATAAATTTCAAAATGAACTAGAACACGAACCAAGTTAATATGCCCTTTTTCTCAACCTCGCCTCACCTCAAGTTCATAAAGTGTGGAACTCAAGGTTGTAATATCAACAGTAATAACTTACATGGGTGTGAGATACAGTGAGGACGGCAGCTACATCTCTTTCACAGTGGCCATATGCAAGGCCTATACCGAATCCTGTTCCCAAAACTACTGGCCAACTTCTTCCTGGTAAATAAAAATAATTGAGTTTAAAACATGAATCCACCAACATTCATTAATAACAAACTAATATAATATGGTTTCACTAATCAGGTATGCAGATATTTCAACAATACTATACAACTACAAAATAATTATAGCTTTTTTGAGTGAAATTCATACTTTTCCAAATGAATTCATTATTTTTTCAACCGATTTCATACACTTAATTTAATGAGTTATTGGAGGAAGTTAGTCGACTATGCTACATATCATGGGTGATAAATATTCAGTTTTTATTAGTGCCTACTTTTCAACCCAAACACGCCCTGATGATGACTCATGTTTGGGTAGAAATATTGGCACTAATAAAAACTTTATAATGGCTGCGTCCTGAATATTTACCAGCCATTACTTTAATGAGGTATCGTAATCAAGAACTTCGAGGAGGATTAGATTGAGGGAATTTAGAGGATTCCATTTATTTATTTATTTTTCTATAAAGAAATCACAATCTCAGTTATTCGCCATTCTTGTTATGGCACACCTTAGTTCTCATACATGATTTGTGATAGTTCATCTTCACAAGAACCTGTGAACAGGGTACAACATGAATTCTGGATTGTCAGCAATATTGAGTCTTCATCTGCATCTTCACAAGGTTTAATAGCCACGTCAGTGGGAAACAAGCAACAAAGAAGAGGCAATGTTATATTGATTCTCTACCACAAAAACAGCTATTTATTAGATTGGTTGAACGAGAAGTCTCACAATCAAGAATGCTGCCATACAATCTGATATCAAAGCCCAAACAGCATACTCTGTTTATAAAAAATACAAATCAAATGACTGTAAAGTTATTCATACAAAAACAGGTGGTACCCAGTGTATAAGCTTGACACCAGAAACTATTATTGCAATTGAACTTGTAATTAAAGAAAACATAGCTTACGCCTTACAAAAAATGAAACAGGGACTGTCTCAGTGGAGTATTAATGTTTCGATCTCCACAATTCATAGAGGACTGGATCAGTTGAAAATTGTCTTAAAATGTGCTTCAAAAGAACTTGACCACACGCACTCGGAGTTGAAGTACTTAAAATGTATGAAATTGGTTGAAAAATTTATGAATTCGTTCGAAAAAATTATAAAATAGGTTGAAAAAATTATGACATTAGTTGAGAATATTATGAGTTTCACTTGAAAAAGATGGATATAAAATTAAGCAAATGTGATCTGAATATAATACAGCTGGCATAACAAGCAACAAGGAGATAATCACAACATTAATTCAATCCTAAAAGTATATTTTAATGGTGGACTTCTCCATAACCAATTAGGTTTATGGCCATATGGTTAAATATCCCAATTCATTAGTGATTTCCACTGTACCTATTAATTTAATTATTAATATCAACTGCACAAACAATTATTCAGTCATGTTTAGAAAAATATATGAAGTAAGGAGAGGAACTTAGGAGATTTATTTCCTGAGTCAAAATCAACAGCTGTGATTGACTTAAAGCTACTTAGCTAATTAAAGTGAATCCACTGAATTCACTGTGAAAGCTAGTAAGATAATACTAATTTTTCTTTACAATAGTATAGTTTTCATGCATCATAAAATTATTCTGTATTATTTTATGTGCACAAGTAAAATCTACAACTAATAATTATAATGGTTTATATCTAATTTATTGATAGGCCAAATGTTTGCTCAATAATATTGTTTAATCAGAAGATAAAATCATAGAATTTATATACCTATATATATTTTAAATGTAATAATTTTAGATTTAAAAAATAAAATAATTGTGTTCTTACTTTTAAAAAGCAGTAAAGAAGAAACTGCACCGATGACAAGACCACCACCTATAAAAAAAAAAAAAAAATAAGTAAGAGATACTGAAAAGAAATGATTTCCTTACAGTGTAAGACAGATTAATCATTTTAATATATGTACAAACTCAAAGAAAGATCTTTGTATAGTAACGTAGCAATTATAATTAAAAAAACATTATAGAAAATTAAATATGTATTTGATATATAGTTCATTCAAAATCAAAAATTCAATCACAGGGATGAATTATTCCAAATAGATTTTCATAGCAATTTTAAAGGCAAAACTTAATTAAAGCTAGCATAAGGATTTGATATTCTCAAACTGTATGAGGCATATTTAAAATAGGTCACCAACAGTTTTAATTTTAGTTGTGTAAATCTTGGAATAGTTGTGAATAACAAATTAAATCTAAAATTACCACTTTGTCAAATGGTGAATATAATTTTTAAGAGTAATTAATATTCAGTCGGATCATCTATTACCATTACTTTAACTTTTTTATTTTTTCACTATATATCAGCAATACTTCCAGACTTACTCGAATTTATAACTTGTTAAACAATTATTAAAAAACTAATTTCTTTAAATAATTAAGCAAAATAACTTATATATAAATATACAAAACATACAGGATTATATGATTAATTAAACTCATATTTTTAAATACCTCATTAACATAATTCTATTAGGAAAGAATAACACATTTTATTAATTTTGTTAAAAAGACAAATCACTAATACTTTATTTTTTTCTTTACTTAAGTTATTACAGAGTTGATTATTTGATAATATGAAAGCTAAAAAGAGATGTGGGCACACTCCTCTATTTGTTCCTCACTAAGGTAATTTAATAATATAGTGGCTCCATTTCTACTGTTTTGTGATACTATTATTGAGAAAATTTCTTCTGAGATGTAAACACTAGATTACATTTTGGATTGTTTGATAAAAATTTTTGTCAAATTTGACAAAATTGCCAAGGGTGTGTTCCTTTTTGATTTAAGCTTCTAAACTTGATCATAGTAAGAAATTGGATCATTTTTTATCCAAAAGAGGCAGAAAAAAGTAAAAAATTCATTTTTAAATTTTATTTTACATAAATGTGGCCTTCTAAAAGTAAGCTCCTCCTATATTCAATAAAACCAACATTACTATTTTAATTATCTTGTAAACCAGTTGGTCAGGGTAACTTAATAGTTTAGAAAATAGATCTTTCCACAAAAACCTCGGGATACCCTGTCCTAGAGGGTTCCACTGCAATTCTTGACAAAGTTCACAGAAACGATAGTAATTATTTGAGCTCACTCAGTTTAATAACGGCGTCGGCAAGACATTTGTCCCACCTCTTGCCAAGTTCATCTTCTTTGAATGTAGGTACAGCCATTATTTAAGAAAGAAACGACTTGACAGAAACAAGACAATCAGCAAAAGAACAGCTGAATCTTTGCTTTAAACAAATATAAATTTGTAATGATTCAGTAATGATTCGTTAAAAAATCATTCCAAAGAGTTAATTTGTTCAGACTTCTCAACACGTTGAACCTCGATTACTTAACAACAGAAATTCTTGGGTTGCTAACTGTGGTCCTCTATCTGTTTTTAGTAGTCAGAAATGACAAATGTTGTGACCCATATTGTAATAGTCAGATCTGTAGTGGTGCTTTATCGAACTGAAAAGGGTTATAATTCAAATATTTCCATCGCTCTATTTTTTTTTTTTTTAATAAATTACTTGTATAACAACTTTCTACGTATATATTAAATTGATTTTAGACTAGGAAACATTACTATTAACCTGTTGGATACAAGTGATTAAGCTTTTATGGCTGCGATATATTTCTTTGAGAATTACTTATTAATATTTTTTTTTAAATGACAATTTTTTGCATTTGGCAAATCATTGTAGAAGCTTAAATCAGGTGCCGACGTGTTATGAGAGAAATGTTGAATGAAATAAAGTTCAAATATTTCATAATATAAAACAGCTTAAGAAATATATATAATTATTTTAGAGGGAGAGAAGATGACGTCATTGCCCGGGGGCGTCGAATGTTTAAGGCCGGCACTGATCCTATGTGAACAGGTTGTCTGTCACTGAAAGAAGCTAGGACTTGGGGACTCCAACAGTACTGGCATATCTTTACAAATAGAATTATCTCTCAGTTTGCAGTAACTGCCCAGGTCAGAACTGAACTCTAACACACTCCAGGTAAGTTATTCTAATAAAAATACATGCAATAATGCCACTAGCGGATCCAGGATTTGATTTTGGGGGGGCTTCAGCCCGAAAGCTTTTTTTTTTCATAAAAATGACGATAATTACTTTGGAAAAAAAGAAAGAAACTAACTATCTATATGAAATGGTGTTTAAGTGATTCCTTAAGTCCTTTTATATGTAATTACACGAACAATAAGACTTTAAGAGATATTTTTTTCCATAAAACATGGTTATATTTTGCCATTTTGGGGGAGCTTCAGCCCGAAAGTCCCCCCCCCGTAGATCCGCCCGTGGATAATGCCCAACATTGATCCAACCAATTGAGACCTAAGCAAAGGTCAAAAATTATCCAAAGGACAAGCGTGAGCTTGTAATGAAGGAGTCTTTTACTTTGTTGGTGCATGTTACTGGAGATTTCAACAGATATTCACGTTCTTATTAAAGTGCTTTATTTTTTTGGTTTATTAGATAAAGGTAGTTTAAACCAATGTTTTACTGTAACACAAGTTGTTATACACATCTCCACCCCATTTATTGTAAGTGTATTGAGTTCTTGGTGTTCTGGTAATGGTTAAACCTGCCTTATTTGCTTACTGCACTAATTAAAGGATTTAATTTTGGGGGGAGGGGGAGAGAGGAGCTTCAGTCTGAAAGATTTTTTTTTGTATGTATATATTAAGATAATTACTTCAGAAGAAAGAAACTAACTACCTATATGAAATGGCGTTTAAATGATTCTTTAAGTTCTATTAAATGTAATTAGACGTACAATAATACTTTTTTCTTTTTACTTTCATGGTATACCATGAGCAAGAAATGGATGTTAGGCAAGAAGTCATTAGCAGGATGGAGAAAAGTGTGATTGGATGAACCACCATAAGACATTTGCACACATCTGTCTACTTCTTATGTTTATATTTGGTTTAATGTCATTCAGGTTGTTTTCATCCCACATGTGTTGCTCTATCTCTCTCAGCGTGCCTCATATATTTTAGAATACATCAATCGTAGATGAGGAGTTAAGTCGCGGTGGCATGTTCTGAAGGGATGCTTATGTTGTACCTTGCCTATGCAGCTACACTGAATTATATAGTAATGATGCAAACTTTTCTATTATTTATTGTTTATTGAAGAGATGCTTATGTACACCAAATGGATTTGGAAGTACTGGGCGGGTAACCCTACAAATCTATTCTTGACAGGGTGAGAATATCTAATAAAAAAACTGTTTAATGCACCATATTGATATAAATAAAGTACGATTATCTCATTATGTTATTCCAGTAAGTTCTCTTTGAGAAACAAAAAATGTCTAGTTTTTCCTCAAAAACAAGCTTCCATTATGCTTAACTGAAAACTGGATAAATAGTTTGTGAGAATCAACATTAACAGTATAAATGATATTTTAACACTTTATTGAAATTAATAATTACATAAGTAAAACAAAGTTTATTTATATTTTTTAAAATTCCGAACTAGAATACCTTTGTTTCTTATTTACCCAAAAAATCATTGGAAAAATTATTTTTTTAATCATATATGAATCCTATATTTGCATATTTCAAATATATATAATATTACCTTGGGAAAATTAGGTTATAAAATGAGGGAAAAAACCCTCAAAAATGCCACTGAAGTCGGAGGTAACTGACTGAAAGGTGCAAACTAGTCTTCAAACATCTTTCATGATTGTTCAGAAAACAAGTAACCATATAATACTTCCAGAAATATGGCTCAGTGACAACTTGAATGGGGAGAATGAAGAAGGTTATACAATAAAATAAAATTTCACTTCCATATAAATATATTTCATATGATCTTTTAATAAAAAGTTAACAAAGGAACTGTGTACCTTCAAATACTTACTTACATTTTAACTTGAGTAACAAACACAGTTTAAAGTCTTTTAAAAGTATATATACTTTTTTCTTCTAAAGATTATTCTTTAGTTCCCCAAAAATTCAATATCATCATTGATCTATAGGTGCCAAAAGGAATAAAAATAAGTTCTACAGCTTTAAATTTTTTTAATTTAACTAATGACTAAACATTTAGGATATAAGAAAGAAGCTGATCAGGGACACAATCAAAGAGATCAAACACATAAGTGGGTCTTTATTTATTGATTTTGTTTTTGTTTTAATATATTTTGCAGGTCTTCATTAGGGCTGTCCAGCCCTGCTAAGTGTGTGACGTTTTTGACTGTGCTTCCTCTCCAACTACTTAAACAATCAATGATATCCAAACCATTATAATATTTAGGTTATTTTATTGCACATTTTAACACTTCCTGTTTTATATTAGAAAATATTTTACTTCATAAAAATACTGTATGTAAAGGAAGCAATTACTGTATTCTTGACTTCAATTATTTTTTCCTAAAATCTGCTTATGGCACTCTATTAAAAGATACATATAACCCATTAAAATTTCAAAAATGTTAACACTTATAAAATTTGTCAAACCCAATGATAAATATCAAATGTTAAATTCTCCTGAAAAATATATATAAAACTCAATATTTTAAAACATTTATGTGAAAGACTAGAATGATAAATTTATGATAACCTGTATTTGGTAACACATATGTCTACTTTTTTGTTCTTTCTCTATAATTATATTAATTCATTGGAATGTTTAGAATTCAATATGTCATGTAACATTATTATATTATGTTTTTTAATATCAAAATATTATCCATATATATTTACATTACATTTTAATCAAATCACACCTTTGATTTTTATAAAATGGAAAGAATTGAATCTTAACTATGGCACAATACTTTGTGTAGTTCATCTCATTTGAATCACAGTTTTAAAATGTTGCTACTATAAAAACGATGATTATTCATTTAAAATTATCTATACAGACAAATATCCTTATTCTTTCTTCTTCAGGTCCTTTTCTGAAGGCTTCGAAGGAAATATAACAAACAAAGAGAGCTGGGCAAGACACAGCAAGAGTCCAACAACATTCTGGACCTGTAAGATGTAAATTTACATACACATAAATCAATATTTACATGTTAAAAAATTAAAAAAAGTATGAATGAGTGGTAGGTTATAGAAAAGAACTACAGCCAGTGAGATAGAATCACCTCTGATTCGAATTCAGGTTTGGTTTTATTTGAGTTATAATCGAACAGCAAAAGTCTAGATTTAAATTAAAGAATAAATATCCACTCTTAGGTAGAATTTTAGTCCCTTAGAGACCAAAACAAAACCAGTATTTGCTTCCTGCTTGAATGTACCATAGTGATATCCAACAGACTTGTAATATTTATTTTCAATAAAATAAGCTCTAGAGTGATCACAGATCAAAGAACACAAGGAAGTTTTATAAAGGCATTAAGGAAATAAAAAGAGCCTTCCAACCAAATATCTCGTACTGCAAGACAAGAGAGAGGGCCAAAATGGGTGAGCCTGTTAAAATATTGCTGAAATGGTCTGAATATTGCAGGAAAAATCTAGTAGAACCCAAGCACCAAGATAGAGAGGAAAGAATTAAGGTGCTGAAATGCCGATTGGCTGTACCCGGAGAAGGAGATGAAGAAGTATAGCTGCCTCAACAGGAAGAAGTTGAAGAAATCATTGGTGAATTAAGGAACAATAAGGCTCCTGGTATTGATTGCATACATTCAGAAATGCTTAAAAATGGAGGGTATGATTTAAAAAAATGTATATTTCAATTGGTGTGGGATGTTTGGTTTGCAAAGAGAAAAAGCAGCAATATGACCCATTCATAAAAAAGGCGACAAACTACCTTCTAGTAATTATCGAGGGATAGCACTACTGAATACAGATTGCAAGGTGTTCTCTGAATTATTGAACTGATGGCTGATAAAGTTTTCTGAAGAGATAGTGGGCCAATATCAATGGAGTTTCAGGCCTGGAAGATCGACCATCGATCAAAGGTTCTCATTAAGATAAGTTCTTGAAAGGGGATATGAATTTCATGTTGACCTCCATAATTTATTTATCGATTTTAAGCAGGCAAATGACAGTATTGATAGAGATGAATTATTGAAGATAATGCTTGAATTGAGAAGTTCCAGGAAGCTCACAAGGCTAGCAAAAATGGCAATGCATGATAGCAGGATGAAGATAGAAATACAGGGAATGCTATCAGAAGGATTTGCAGTAAATAGTGGCCTGAGGCAAGGAGACCCACTATCACCTGTCCTTTTCGATTTAGCCTTGGAAAAATCTACGAAAAAAAATACGAACCAACCCTAATGGAACAATTTATGATCGACTCACACAGCACTTGGTATATGCGGATGATGCGCTCATAATGGCAAGAAACACTGCAGCGCTAAGAGGAGCTTTGGAGGAGTTTGAAAGGGAAGCAGCAGAAGTGGGCCTTCATGTAAATGAAGGAAAAACAAAATATTTAAAAACTTCATAGCACCAACAACCGGAATACCATGATCTGCAGATTGGCGATCACAGTTTTAAAAGTACAAGCATATTTAAATACCTGAGTGCAGTCATCACACGTGACAACAGCATGAAAGAAGAAGTGAACGCCAGGTTGGCTGCAGGTAACAAGTGCCTTTATGCCATACAAAGAACATTAAAGTTTAAATCTCTTTCCGAAAAAGCGAAACTCATGATTTATGAAACCATACTGAGACCCATAGCTACATATGGCAGTGAAAGTAAAAGAAATTCAATGTCTGGGAAAGAAAAATACTCTGGAGGATATATGGGCCAATAAGAGAAAATGGCAAGTGGCAGTTAAGAAACAAGTATGAGCTCCATGCAATGTATGGTAGACCAGACCTGGTATCATTTGTGAAAAAAGCCAGCCTGAGATTGCTCGGATACGTGGAAAGGATACCAGAGAATAGAATTCCAAGATGCCTGCTATATGGAAGAATTGGAGGAAAACGATACAGAGGAAAGCCAAGAATACGATGGTTGGATGACGTTGAAGAGGACCTCAAGTTGCTCAAGTAAAAAGATGGAGGATGCCAGCGAGAGACAGGAATGACTGGCTTGGAGTCCTTGAGGAGGCCCAGGTCCATGTAGGACCGTAGCGTTGAGCAGTAAGTAAGTAATTAAGCTAAATACTGCCACATGTTAGAAAATAATTTGGGAGATATTATATTTATATTCATAATTTTTTACAATGATTAAAAGACAAATGTAATTTTACATACCTCTATAAAAATATTCTCTAAAATAATACCATAAAGCAACCAGAGAGACGTAACGACAGTTCCTGATAATATCATCGGAAAAGGAAGCATTTCTGTATTTTTGGTTTCAATTATTTCTTTCTAGGAAAAAAAAAAGAAACAATAAAAACATCAAAATAATTTTTAAAAAGCATAACATTATCATTATAGAGTCCAATAAATAAATAAAAAGTATGAAAGCTCTTTGGATAGAGGACTCATCAAAATATTTAATTTCTCTTAATATGATCAGAATAGTTTATAAAACAAAACTACTACTAGTAAAATAAAAACAATCTACCAGATTGAATAAGGGTGCTCCAATTAAAACAAACATCAAGAGAGTAACAATGAGGCCATAATTAAACTCTAATCTTGTGGTATCAATTCTTTGCTCTACTTGCGCATAGCCAACCATTACTGCAGCTCCTGCTAAGACTTTGGCCAGCTTCATTAATAAGTCACTCTAAAACATATAATTAAATAAAATAGTACAACATGTATGGGATACTAATACCTCAACATTACCATACATTTCTTAACTACTAATTTCCATTAAAATAAAATGAAAACATTAATGTACTAAATAGACAAAAATTAGAAAGTAATATTAGATGGGGTAAAACCCCAGTTTTCGGCACCCTAAAGGAAACTTTAAAATATATTAGTCCAGTTTTCAACTACATGGATACTTGGTTCAACGATTTGGGGTTCTGTTAAGCCAGTAAAGATCTCTAGTTTAAATATGTATACAAATATTTGTATGAGCCAGTTTACAGTTTACAGCACTAATTTTTAAAAACCTAAAGAATTAAATTTGACAGCCTTCAGAATGAAAGGACTACAATGAAATTTTGCAGGAATGTTTGTTTCTTGCCAAAAACCTAAGACACATTTGTTTTGTGTGAATGCTATTATACCATAGCGTCACCACGCTACGGTGAGTAGTGAAAATAGATCTGATAAGATCTATAAGATAATTGATTTGAGCCGGCCCATTCCACGGCAGAATTTCAGATAGACAGTATCTAGACCAGACTGGAGGGCACTCTCAATTAAATAAGATATCTATGCAAGCATAAAACGGTGAGTTTTGCTTTACATAAATTCATATAACCTATCACTTTAAACCAAAATAAGTCGAATGTTGCTAATGTTGAACGCATTAGAGTTATTTGCTTTTACTTTAATTAAATTGAAAAGTTGCCTAAACAATATTTTTTCTGGGTGACACCTATCGGGTTTCTAATTTTCAGTGATTTTTTTTCACCTATAAAACTAAATAAATAGTAGATGTTAGAATACGTCAGCTTCAAATGAGCTCCTTTAGCCAGCTCTGAACCATTCCCATCGCTTAACATTCTTCAATAATTGCAGTGGGCACCGACAACTGGAGACTTTACCCTAAGCCTAGTAAAATTTTATTTGAATTAAAGACAATGAAGTTGAGTTGGTTGAATAAACCTTTTCAAATGAATGATGCTGATAAGTGATACCAATACAGTGGTATTATATAACCAGTAATTAATTCATTTGACAACAAAGGGGAAGGAATTTGTCAAATTTGCATATTTATTTTTATATCCGGGAATATAAAATCCTAAATAGAGAAGATGCCATCAAGGATTTAATGAGTAAATTATGGGACAGCTATGATTGTCCATTGTGATTAATAATTATGGAAATAAAGAGTTTATCTCTCATGAATTATTTTTTCTCAAATTACAACATACCTTGCAAAGCAATACATTAAGATACATAATCCCAAAATGAGAAATATATTCTCCATTATCATATTATATATAGGAATGGGAGATTTTCCTCCACGAAACCTGTTTTAATCTTTTGAGCATCCGTATACGAATGTATATACATATGAACTCTGGATGTATAAAACATCAGAATAAAAGAGAACAAAATCCCATCACATTAGTAGAAAAAAAAATATAACAAAAATAATTGAAGCTATAAATAGAAGTGAATTAGCTAAGACTCTAAGAAAAAATCAGACAGACACTGGTGCAACTACCCGACAGGATAAAATTTTGCACTCAAATAATTTGGGTTAAAAGAAACAAACAAAAAAATAACTCAGGTAAGATAAAATAAAAACCGTGAATTAATAATTTCAATATTGACTTCCTACATGTTAATAAAATCTCTTGTAAGGAGAAAGAAAAATCACAAAAATTAACAGTGGGGCTCACTAAATAAATCTATCAAAAACTATTTTGAAATCAAATAAAACGATTCAAAATTATCTGTCAGATCATATATCAATAATGAAAAGGGCTAAATTAAGAAAATATCCACTTTGAGTTAATAAAAGAGCAAGAACCATTGAAATTTATTCTACAATTGGAGCTCACAAGCTTATTGCTAGAAGTTGCTACTGAAGATTCTTGAATGTTTATTTTTTTAAATTAAGTTGGTGAAGATATTGTCCGAAATAAAACATAGATTGAAAATAAGGGTTTCCTTCTGAGGGATACTGTGATTATTCATATTTATATACTATGACTTGGCCAAAGAAAATTTCCTTTGTGAAAATTAATTGATATATTCATCACATATTATAACAGTTTAACGTTTGATTGTTTTCCCATCATCAGAACATCTTTTTGTATTTTACTACAATTCATTTTCTATTTTGTTTGTGTTCTCCTTTGTCATTGTCATATTTTCTATTACTTAAACTAAAATATTATCTGAGGCAACACATCTCTTGCCTAACAATTGGCCTCCTTTATCAATTATTTAAATTTACAGTTGGACTTCGTCAAGTAATTCATAAAGGAGGCCAACTGTTAGGCAAAATATGTGTTGCCCCATATAACACTTTAGTTTAAGTAATGAAAAATATGACATTGACAAAGGAGCACACAATTATTATAAAGGAAGTTTTCTTTGCCAAACCCATAATTAATAACCTAGAACTTCTCAACTAAAGAAGAAATCATACTTATATAGTGATAATTTCAAGAAAACGTTTTTAAAATAATTTAACTGATCTTAGTTATTGTGATGTTGCGAACATATTACAAGTCATTCCTAACAAGAATAAAACAAAATGTTTTTATTATTCATCTTGTTAGTAAAAAATAACTATAGAATGTTTTTGTTTGTGAGAAAGATTAAATTTTTTTTTTATACTACATGGAAAAGGTAAACACTTACCTTATCTTGATGATATTTATAAAAAATTGAAAGGTATATCAGATTCAAAACAAATGCAAAAATATTAACAGGAATCATAGCCATGTCGTTCAGAATCAGACCGTGCTGAAGCATTACTATACCCCTGGAAGTAAAATGTATATTTAGTTAATGCAAAGAAATAACTTTTTAACTAAAAACAAATTATATAACTTAATAAAATAAATAATTAATTTAAATCACTCATAATATCAATAATATGCAAAAGGCTTTATTAGCCTTTAAATGAAATATGTGATTCACATTTCCACTATATATATTAAAGAAATAATTTATTCAATTCTCTTAATATAAATTTTCAAAGTTTCCATAAAAAATCCATCTAATTTCAGAGGATACTTAATAGATAAAAGTAGACACTATTAACGACAACAGTTAGTCACTCATTTTTTATCACCCAACATGAAGTTCAATGAACTTAAACATTAATATATTTTTTTTTAAATCCTCAGCATTTCGATGTATGCATTATATTATGCCCCTTATTTTCTGCATTCTTTTTCAATCTGGAAAAACATTTTTGTTTTTTTAATCATCAAAGTTTTTCATAGTTTATTACTACGATTTTTTTATTACTACTAACAATGAGACATTTGACTGTGGGTTTATGGCCGACTATAGTGAATAATTGAAGAGAATTATTCATATAACAAAACAATTTATTTTTTACCATTTCAATTTGACTGATCACCCAAACCATCCTTCTCTTTAATGAGACATTTAATTACTTTAAATAACTCAATAAAAATGGTCCAAAGGATAAAATTGATTATAAAAAGTGGTTTTCCAATAAGTCGATTATAAAGATAAATATGCGTAAACATCACAGGCATTGCCCACTTTAAACACATAATTCCAGTTTCATACGGCATTTTGTTTATGAGATAGACTATTTACATATACAAACTCAGACCATTTTGCAAAACATAGTTATTTGGACTCAAGGGGATTTAAAATGTGTATATCGGTGAAAACACACAATTAAAAATTTTTCACGATTGATATACTTTCTCTTACTATTTATTTCTTACAAAGCTAACTGAAAGTAAAAAGTAATACCTCAAAATTCACACTTAGAAAATGTATTTAAGACACAACTCTATTTCAAAAATTGTTATCCTTACACTACAAAATATTATAAAAGTAATCACACTTTTTAAGAGTTATGTAAATAATAGAATGTAATAAATCTACAATACATCTACTATGGCTTATTATGTGGCTTATTATATAAAAAAAAACTTACATCCCCAATCCTCCAACAAATGGTACAGGATCAACATTTTTTGTACTCTTTTGGACAATTATTTTTCTTATAATAGCCCTGAAAAAAAAGTAAATAATAATAAAATATAGATAGAGTTAAATAGGAAAATTAAAAAACATAAAATTCATAAAGGAAATAGAAAAAGAAAGAAAACAATTGGTTTCAAATGAAACCCAAGATATGTTCAGAGCTATGATAATTTGATATAGTAATTTGTTAACAAATTAAGTAATTTTTCCTCATTAATTAAATTTCATTTGAAGAGCAAAATTTTGATTGTTTTAGAAATCAAATGAAAAATAATGAAACACTTCTTATATAGAAGTTTCATATATTACAAAACATTTTTAAAACATTTGCACAGCTGAAAGCAATATTTGGCAAGAGATAAGATTACCACCTTTTCTATATCATTTATCTATAATTAAATAAATTAATTGACAACAAATATATACATGTATACTTACACAGGAGAAAAAAATTGTGCAATAGTCACAACCGCTGCCACATTTCCAACTATTTCTTTATATTCTTGTAAAGGCATTGTTACCCAATGTCTGAAAATGATGTATTAAAAAAATTATAAATATTTTACAGTACATAAGGTATTTCAAATATTAGAATTGTAAAAATAATATCTATATTAAAATTTAAAAAACAACAACAACTACATATTTGATTCAAATACATTAATGACAATTTATATTTTACCTACAATATAAACAAATTGAGACATATAACAATAGTTAATAATAATTATTTCTATAAGCTTAAATTGTCTGATAGTAAGAAATATCTATAAAAAGGCAGGCTCTTAAGAGGGGCCAGGCAACCTAGGGCCCAATCACCAGACCCTGGTGGACCAGTTTTAATTTTTTCCATCATTAATTTTTCTTAACAAAACATGCAAATGTTATATAATAATTGCGTCATATGCACATACATTATACAGGAAAACCTTGGGATTTAATTGTAAATTTAATATTTGAAAGTTATTTTAAATTTTTTTTCCTGGGGCCCTTGTTTCCTCTCCAGGACTCTGTATAAAGGTTAAACCAAATGTGTTCTAGAGATAAAAATAAATAATCAAACTCACGAGAACTTTCTTAAAGTTAGTATAAGAACTAGAACATATCTGAAACATTACCAAACCGTAAACGGAATAATATTTTAAATGTTACTTACTAAAACTACGTAGACCAGGAAGAAACAGCAACAGCACGCACGCCAATCGAGTGACCGCCAAGGAAGGCGGATAACCTTGTTGATTACTTCTACACCAAGGTTATTCCCCATACAGTGATACCAATATTTAAAGGTTTCGTTATTTTATAAAATGTTGTACAAAAATACAATACACTTATTATATAAAACACTGTAGAACGTGAAAATCTGTTTTAAATGAGATCGTGAGTTTGGTTGATATAAATATTACTGAATCATATAATTTCATCAATAAATTGACCTTGTAAGGATTACATTGCATCAATTAAATTGACATCAATCAAAGTGGCAAATATTCTAAATGTTTATTGAAGCTCTTTCAATATTATTGAAGGAGTATCAATAGTATCCCATGTGTTAGGATTAGGGATGGACAATTCCGAATACAGATCTGAACGGAATGGTCCACCATTGGAATTCGTTCCAGTTCTCGTTCCATTCCATCTTCGTTGTGGACAAAACTTGAACCGAAATAGAGAATAATAAATATGTGTAAATAATAATAAGAAATTATTTGTAATACTAAAACTATTTGAGGTTGCGTTTAGACATTTCAGAAACAATAGGAAATATAATTATCTAACTTAACTAACAGCGGCAGATACAGAAATAACCAGAAGAGTGGTGGAGGAAAAGGTGCAGCGTACAAGAAGTGTAAGACGATGGCTGTATGGGGTAAGTAAGGACTCTAGAAATTTGTCAAATGCCCGGAACTGGAAGGCTGCCCCACTGGACAAGGAGGGCTGGCGGAAGTGGTTCAAGGAGGTCAGAACCTATTGATGGGAACTAGCTCCGAGAAAGAAGAACTAACAGCCAAGTTATGGCTAAGCCAAACTATTTATTTTATTTATCTCGATACCGACAACAGATGGAAAACAAAAATACTAACACAGTGAAATAAACATTTATTTGTTGGTTCCACAGGCGGATCTACGGGAAAAGAGGGCTTTCGAGCTGAAGTTCCCCCAAAATGGTAAAATATTACCATGTATTAAGAACAAATTAATTTAAAAGTATTATTGCTCGTGTAATTACATTTAATAAAATTTCAAGAATTACTTACAGACCTTTTGGTATAGGTAGTTAGTTTCTTTTTTTTTTTTTTTAGAGTAATTATCGTTACATTTAAAAAAAAATTCTTCCGGGCTGAAGCCCCACAAAATGAAATCCTGGAATATCTAGTGGTTGGTTCTTAGTTTGTGAAATGTCTAAACTCACCTTAAAACGATAGAAAAATCATTGAGAAGACATTGAGAACAGAAAAATGAAAACAATAAAATAAATAAAAGAACTAAATGTTTTAGATTAAATTGATGAGAGCCCGAGAGCAATATCTGACAATCTCCGGACGAGACACCAGAATCAAAAGTGCCCATTCTCCCCAACGTCGATGGCGCAAGAACCTTCCCCCTCCCCTTTCCAAGATATTTAATTAATAATAATAGTTCAAACGAAAGTAAAATTTAAAAGATCATAATCCTCAATGCTCCTTACTTTGTCACTAATAAAATAATCCATAAAGACCTCAATGTTCCATATGTTTCCGATTTGGCCAAATCCAGATACCTATCCTTCCATAATAAACTTCATAACCATCCAAATCCTCTTGTTTCTAACCTTGCTTCCTCTTCGATTCCTGATAACCCTCCGAGGCGTCTGAAAGAAAATGGCCTCGTGATCTTCTCATGTAGACAAATTATTAGAGTGCTACCAGTGGGTAGTTTCTCAACAAGCGTGTTTCATGTAATAATATTTCTCTGTACAAATTTACTTGATGTATTCATACTAATACAGTTGTAAATATCATAATAAAAGTTTAAAAAAAAGAAATAAAAAAAAAAAAAAAAAAAGATCATAGATCATAGACAATTACACTTACTGCGGTCTGCTCCCTGGTTTTCTTTTTCCTTGAAAATTTCCATTCCGAAAATTCGCCTTCCATGCGCTATCGAGCTAGGGGGAATGGGCACCCCTGGTTCAAAGGCAATGATTGATTTAAATAGGCACTTAAAAGAGGACATTTTGGTAAAGTAAAAAAAAAACTCAGAGCCGACCTTAGACATTCGGCGCCCACGGGTAATGACTTAATAACCTCTCTAAAATAACTAAATTTATTTTTTAAGCTGTTCATATTATGTAACATATGAATTTTATTACATTCAACATTTCCTAATACAGTTAATAAAACCTAAAAGCGTTCACATTCCGATGGAACGAAATGACCATTGCGAGCCGTTCCGAAGGTGGAATTCAAGACCACCCACTTGGAACGGGACCAGACAGCTAGTTCTGTTTCTTCTTTGTTCTGCTGTTGCAATATGACTTGAAAATAAATTAAAAATAATATTACAATAATAAAAATCTGGTGCGCGCAATACACAACAGAAATTATTTTCTGCCAATATTGGGCTATTATAAAATTTTTGAAATTCACTTTAAACGAAGCTAAAGCTTAAAGCTTACAGCTAACAAAGCATTAAGACCATCAAAATAACAACAACTCTATTTATTATATCGACGGTAGACAATAAAAATCTAATTACTCCATCTGTTTTTGTAAACCTCATAACTTCAGTCTCTGAGCCATTCAGTTGACAGTGTGTTGAAATATATAACTGTGAATAAAGGTATAAATTTTGCCACGAGAACCATCACTAAAATTAATAAGAAAGAATGTTGAAATTGGAGTTAGTCATTCTGTCAACCGAAAGGCTCATATGGCTAGAGAGATTTGAAAGTACATCTGAATATTTAACCTATAAATGATTATGGATTGTAGGACTATTAGTTATTAAACTGTTATTGCGTTAAAATGAAATTACGAGATTTTCATTGCCTGCCAAAATTATCACACTAATTGTAAGTGGATTATGTTGGGATTTCACAAAGGGAAAATTTATTAAATTATTCACTAATTTAATTTTCTAAAAGGTTACTTGATGGAATGTTTTTTTGATATAAACGGCCAATAGGTGTACCTAATTATTTAAATATAATATCATCTCTAGAGTTATTAAACTACAGTAAATAAATTTAAGGTTATAAACGTATGCATGAAATAATTTTATATTTCACTTCTTCTTTCATATAAGTACAATGAAATAGTATTTTAAACAATGGCATTGCTTGATCCGGTGAATTTAAATACTTTTTTACTTTTCTAAAGAAATTTAAAATTTTACATGTAGTAAGATAATTTCATTTAATTTCCTTGAAAACATGTGATTTAGATTAAATAATGTTAGTTGTCGGAAATTATTATTTATATTTTTTTCGTTACTTTCTACAACTTTATTTATTTGATATTATTTTTTCTAAAATTCTCCGCTTTCCAACGATATATTATAGGTGTACACTCTGACTGTTCCTGAGATTCATTTTCAACCTGGATAAGCGTTTTTCTCTTTTTCTCCAGTGTCCAATTATCATATTCTTTCAAACTTCATATTGAGCCATTTTTTTATAGTCAATAAAAGAGTTTTTTTTTTTTTTTAAATAATTCATATTAAAGGCACTTTAAAGGAAGACGAATGTAAACATTGGGCATTTAAACCCTGTAAAGTGATATCAATGGGGATAAGACCTAAATGATATTAAACATCACTTAATTATACAATGATACACTGAGTTCAATCAAAATCGTTTTTGAGAAAATTATAAAAATATGTTTCACCATTGGTATAAAGTAGCACTTCCGGTTAGCCGATCTTAAGGGAAATGTCAATGAAAGGTCAAAGATGGTGATTTGCGTATGAAGATTGGTAGGGAATTCCAAAACAAAGTAGCACGATAATGGATTGTTTTAAAGGAAACAGTTCTATAAGAAGGAATAAATAGGTTTGAGGGCTAGGATCTCGTGTTGAACGAATGGACAGAGGGACAAGGAGTAAACAAATCGAGTTTTTTTGTTGAAAAGGTTCGAAAAAGGAATATATCTAGGAAGTATTGCCGTCAGAAGACTGTATAGATCCACTTTAACTCGGTCTACTAACTAGAGACGTGGGGGCTTCTTGGGACTCCAAAAATAAATCTAATGAAACAATTCATTAGTCTCTTTAATCTGATTTCAAGCCCACCAGACAGTCCATCGTATACAGACTGTTTGGAATCTTTGATACAAGAAGGAATGGTACCACTTTAGAGTACTATTTGATTAGGAAAGGTTTTTACTTTCACTTACGTATATATGTAATATATAGTAAGTGTAAGTATTGAGTTCGGAAAGGAGAATTTCATGATGGACTGAATCGAATGCTTTTGAGAAATCAAAGAGGACCAGACTAGAGGGGATTGAAGGTACAACACCTTTTTGTTCTAGGA